AGCACTCTTTAAGTCAATTTTACTGAATATTTCATATTGGGATATTCTGGAAATAAGTTCCTCAATTTTAGGAAGAGGATAAGCATCAAGCAAGGTAAATTTGTTTATGGTTACTGAATAATCAATGACCATTCTGGGCTTACGATTTTCACCTTTAATCACAAATGCTTGAGCTCGCCAAGGTGAGTGACTGGGTTCAATGATGTTTTCTGTTAGCAGTCTTCTAACTTCTGCCGCAATAAACTGTTGGTCTTCTATAGTGTGTCGTCTCGACTTAGTGATCACTGGTCTGCAATCTGGAGTTAAGTTGGCGAATAAAGATACAGGATCTACCTTAGCAACAGCTACAGAGCATATTTCCAGTGGAGGTTTGCTTCCCTCGAAGTTAACAATCAATGATGAGTGAAGTTTTAAGAGGTCATGCCCGATTAAGAGATCAGCACACAAGTCTTTCATGACTAGAATTTCTATTCCTTCATAGCGATGAGTTTGGACCTCAATGCTCACGATACAACGTCCAGCAATTTCTGATGTCATTGCAGAATTTGCCATTGTGATCTTACCAAGATATGGTACTACTTTAAGCCGGCATGTTGTTATATGACGGGAGTTTATAAAACTGAGGGAGCTACCCGTGTCAATTAAAGCTTGAAGTTTCACACCATTAACAGTCACTGTAGCTAACGACTTTTGTAGGCAACTAGGAGCAGCACATGAAAGAGAGGCTAAGATGTGTGCAGATGTCCCTACTTCGCTCGTATTACGTTGTTGTTTTGATTTGCATACTCGTTGGTAGTGTCCTTTCTTGCCACAATTACGGCAGGTTACATGTTTAGCGGGACAGATACTTCGTTGGTGGCGATCATTTCCACAAAAAAAACAGGCATTTGATCGTGATGGAGTTGCGGCAGCAAGGTGCTCTTGCTCCAGTAAAGTATTTCCTTCAGAAAAGGGCCGAGTTTCTCTGTTTCTTTCAGCGTAATCAGCTGCAGCTGTGTGCATTGGTGTCTGTACGGTCAGATAGGATGCTGAGTGCAGCTCTGCCAATTCCAAAGATCTAGCTTGATCGAAAGCATCATTTAAGCTTATAGTTGTGTTTTCCAGCAGTCGTTCCCTGATGCGAGAGCTTTTTAGACCCCGAATAAATGAGTCACGTACGTACTCGTTTTTGTATTGTTCTGCTGTGACAGCCTTGAAATCACAGTCCTTGCTGAGTTGTTTTAAGATTTGTAAGTATTCTCCGACTGTTTCTGTTGTTTGTTGACCTCTGGAGGCTAAACAATGTCTAGCAAAGATTTCGTTGCGACGTACGATATATAGAGAGTCCAGGGTAGATATAGCATCGTCATAGTTTCCCGCATCGTTGATACTTAAAAATACAGTCGCGGAGATGTAATTGCATAAGAGCGAAAGCTTACCTTCGTCGTTAACATTAGGTATTTTGGTAACAAAGTTCGTGAAAGTCCGTTTCCAATGTTTCCATTTGGTTTCTGCACCCGAACTCGTTGGGTCCACATCGAAACGTTCTGGCTTTAGCAATTGCTCCATGGGGAAAAAAAAACGATGTTGATAAGCTTATAATGAGATATTTTTTTTTTATCTTTGTTGATTAAACTGTCCACGGTGAATGACTGGGTTCGATGATGTTTTCTATTAGCAGTCTTCTAACTTCTGCCGCAATAAACTGTTGGTCTTCTATAGTGCGTCGTCTCGACTTGGTGATCACTGGTCTGCAATCTGGAGTTAAGTTGGCAAATGAAGATACATGATCTACATTAGCAACAGCTAAAGAACATATTTCCAGTGGAGACTTGCTTTCCTCGAAGTTGATAATCCATGAGGAGTGAAGTTTTAGGAGTTCATACCTGATTAAGAAATCAGCACACAAGTCTTTCATAATTAGAATTTCTATCCCTTCATAGCGATGAGCTTGGACCTCAATGCTCACGATACAATGTCCAGCAATTTCTGACGTCATTGCGGAATTGGCCATTGTGATCTTACCAAGATATGGTGCTAGTTTAAGCTGGCATGTTAATTTGTTGTGCTGTGACAGCCTTGAAATCACAGTCCTTGCTGAGTTGTTTTAAGATTTGTAAGTATTCTCCGACTGTTTCTGTTGTTTGTTGACCTCTGGAGGTTAAACAATGTCTAGCAAAGATTTCGTCGCGACGTACAATATATGTAGAGTCCAGGGTAGATATAGCATCGTCATAGCTTTCCACATCGTAGATACTTCAAAATACAGTCGCGGAGATGTAAGTGCATAAGAACGAAAGCTTACCGTCTTCGGTAAAATTAGATATTTAGATAACAAAGTTCGTGAAAGTCCGTTTCCAATGTTTCCATTTGGTTTGTGCATCCGACCACGTGGGGTCCACATCAAAACATTGGCTTTAGCAATTGCTCCATGGCAAAAGAAAAACGATGTTGATAAGTTTATGATAAGATATTTATTTCGTTGATTAAACTGTTTTGTATTGATATAGTAAAATAAACAGATAAGGTTTAACTTTGATCAACAAGGAAAGAAGCATAATGTTTTGCTACATGAATGATCTGGATTGCAGTAAGATGTGAACAACACAGTGTTGCCAGATTACAAACAGTAAGAGATGTGTTGCCATTACAGTAAAATATATAACACCTTCTTTTTGTATTCGCCAATTAAACTGCGCACGTTCGAATATTATGTTTTGTTTAACAACAAAGTGAGTGTCGAAACTATTTAAAACCACCTGGAATTTCTTTTTATCTGCTTACGATATACTGAGCGAAAGAAATATGTCCTCGACTTCATCGCTCATGACATATATAAGGGAATCTACTTGTTCCTCTTCTGTTTTTTTATTAGTCCCGAAGCAGTTCGGAAATGTAGAAATCTTTGCTTCCATTTAGGCCATTCCTCCGGCATCGAAAACGGAAATGATTTCGGCGGCGTTATATGATATGCAGGAGCTGATGCCATGACGATGTAATTTCAGAATATCGAATGAGATTGAAAACTTACTTCGTTAATTTTTGTTTTCTTTTTGGTTATGTATCGTTTAAATGCTAATTAAATAGATGAGCATGATCTAACATCACTGCGAACACATTTAATGACAACCTGACGAGATACAGAAACTGAAACTAACATAAACAGTTAATACCAAGTTACAGTTAACCTAGCTGATTTCTTCAGCAACAGTCTTAGACCTTTTCACTTACTTCGCCAGACCTTTTTATGTACTTTTTCACTTGCACCAAAACAGGATCTGATTGCAATTCTTTTTGGCAGTGATATCTGGTAATTGAACTATCGTCCATGGCTTCCAATAATAAGACAATATCTGCTGACTTGGGCAGATCTGTACAAGTAGTTGGTAAGGGCAGTCTGCTGCAGGCATCAGCATTACCATGGGAACTACCCTTACGGTACGCAATATGATATGAGTCTGCTGATAAAATAAGAGCCCATCTTTGTATACGAGAAGCCGCCATAGTTGGCACAGGCTTACTCTCAGAAAACAAACTGACTAAAGGCTGGTGATCTGTTACTAATGTGAAAGCTCTTCCCAATAAGTATTTTCGGTAACGAGTGACACCAAAAATTAAAGCTAAAGCTTCTCTTTCAATTTGACTGCAATTTCGCTCTGCTTTGGTGTGCGAGCAAGAAGCAAAAGCAATGGGGCGATCACCTGATGAATGTGACAAAACTGCTCCTACCCCATGTGGCCTAGCATCACATTCCAAGTGCAATTCCTTTCAAAATGGACTGACAATGATGAGGCTGTCAGTTTCTGTTTTGCTTCACAGAAAGCTTCTTTTTCTATCTTAAACCATTGCCATGGTTGATTCTTATTCAGTAGTCTGTACAACGGTGCCAACATTGATGACAGATTTGGAACAAATTTAGCATAGTATGTGAGGAGACCTATAAAAGATCTTAACTCATCTACATTTGTAGGCTCTGGAGCTTCCTTTATAGCATCTATATTGGTCTGCACTGGATGCAAACCATCCTTGTCAATACGATGGCCCAAGTATTCAGCTGAGGACTGCATAAACGAGCACTTGGATGGATGAAGTTTAATAACAGCCTCTTACAGAGTAGACAGGACATTCTTCAAATTCTGCTGGTGCTCTCCCTCAGAGTCTCCTGTTACAAGTAGGTCATCTAGGTGTCCATCTCTCTTTCGAATACTGCAGGAGCTGAGGCCACACCAAATGCCAAACGGGCATATCTAAACAATCCTCGATGAGTATTAATCACCAACAACTCTTTAGATGGCTCATCCAGTTCCAATTGGCAGTATGCGTCAGATAAATCAATTTTTGAGAACATCACTCCCCTGAGAGGCTAGCAAATAAATCCTCGATATTTGGCAATGGATATTGCTCAAAATCTGTCGCAAAGTTTACTGTCAGTTTGAAGTCACCACAGAGACAAATTTATCCATTAGCTTTCAGAACTGGAACCACGGGTGTAGCCCTGTTCGAAGATGATACTAACTCGAGTACACCTAGCTGCAACAGCCTGTCAATCTCATCCTCTATCTTTTTCTTGTAAGCATAAGGTAAAGGGCGAGCTTTAGAAAATTTTGGCTGAACAGACTCTTTCCTGTTCAAATGAACTTTCACCTCTTTCACTTTCCTAAACCATCAGAAAACAGTTCTTTGTGCTCATTCAAAATATACTGCAAAGTCATTTCAAGACTGAGTTGATTGGATTAAATTTGTAGACATTCATTGTTTGATGTCATTTAAAACACCAAGTTTACCAATCCAGTCTCTACCCATCAATGTAACAGAACATTGATCAACAACCAATATAGGAAGCTTTACACTCTTTGTTTTGTATGTGATATTAACATCCATGATGCCAGAAAGTTTTAATCTGTGTTTAGTGAACGATCTTAGTTTAACGTTCGTCTCCCTCGACTGATGTAAAACTTTGTTGTTTTCTGCATAAACAGAAAAAGGCATGATAGAAAAAGGAGCAACAGTATCCACTTCCATATTTAATGGCACACTTTCAATTTCTATACGCACCTTACAAGGTGGAGGAGTATCGTGCAAGGTACTTAATGTAAATACATCATACATATCACACGCAGCAGATTCAGGTACCACCTGATGCACTTGACTGCCGTAACCAACCTTTACCTCATTTTTTTCTTCTTGCAGGTACCTTTTTTTAGTGACTAACACATCTTGACTATATGCCCAACCTTACCACAAGAATGGCACTCTTACTGAATTTACAATTTGGTGATTTATGGCCTTTTTCTCCACAAGAGTAACATGTTAATGTAGAAAAATCATCACTTTCCTGTTTTTTCGACTGCTTCAATAACAGCACGTCTGCCGGTAATGTTTTATCACTGCCTAAACCGGAAGCATTTCTTGCTGCAGCTTCCATCGATAATGCTACTTCTGCAGCCCTTTCGAAGGTTAGATCTCTTTCGGATAACAGCTTCTTTTGGGTAGTCACATCGCCAATTCCGCAGACCAGTCTGTCTCGAGACAACGAGGCGCCAAAATTGCAATATCTCGCCAAACTTCGAAGCTCCGCCACGAAAATTGCAACCGATTCATCAGTTTTCCTTACCCTGCAATCGAAGCGAAGTCGTTGCATAATTTCGGATGGTGGCGGTTCAAAATGTCCTTGCAACACTGCCAAGATTTGATCTAATGATTTGCTAGTATGTAATTCAGGTGCCAGCAAATTTTTTTCAGCAAACTGTACGTAACACTTCCCACTACAGAGAGGAAAATCGCTCTCTTGCGATCATCATTGTTCACTTCATTACTGATAAAATACTATATAAGTCTTTTTGATTACTCACAGAAAGATTCTTTGGCAGCTTCGAACTCACCTAACGGTCCGAAATGTGCCATAGTGCACGCGAGTAGTCATCGCCGAATTAGGCCTAACTCACTTCGTTCGATAAACAACTAACTCCTAAATCTGCTCGTCGCCACTGAAATATTTGAATTCACGCTAGTAGTTGTATGGAAAAGGATGAGAAACATTCATAAGGAATCAAATATGTTTTTAATGCAATGTACCTTTATACATTTTATCGGCGGTGTTGTGACAACAACCAGCAAGCCACGCTCATAGATGCCTTGATCTCATCGACTGTTGGCATACATAATTATCAAAAGCATTTTTGAATTAAAGTTGTAGTATATAATAAAAATTTAGAATAGTGCTGACATCTCTGAATTAGAATTAGAATTAAAAGAAACGATATTCAATGAATTAATGTTGCTATCTTTTAAAAAGTTACAATTAAGTTTAAATCTCTAAATTCAAATTGAAAATTAATTAAATATTAATACAAATTATTAATAAATGATAAATTTTTAAAACTGAACAATGGCCTTTCTTATTATACTTGATAGCTGTTTCAAACAGTTCGTATTTTTGTCTCCAATCTGCCCAAGCTCTTGCCGGATTGTCGCCAAGAGTAGATGGCTCCATTTGAATGAATTGATCAGCAACCATGTTTTGATACTATTAGATGATGTAACACAATCCGAATACAGCAAAACGGGGGGGAAATCAATAGTTGAAATAAATACCGAGGTGTTTCAATCAGACACCATGTTAGGTTTCTTAAAATGTATGTGTGTAGGTGATATATATATAAAAGAGATGACGATTAAGCATCTTCTGGGGTAATGCACATATCACAATAAAAGATAGAAACAAAAAACAGGATACAATTAGAAGGACTATTTTCGATTACGATTAATTGATAAGGTTACACAGATTTAGATTAAGATTAATTCTTAATTGCAAATACATAGCATTAACAACTTTCTGCAACTGTTATTTTTATAAATGGTATTACACGTCATCACCATTCAAAAGAACTAGTTCTTCGGATATACACTCACCTTTACTGTAGTGTAAAAACATGTTAAGGCCCATCTGTTTTATCTTATCTGTGGTTGCAGGTTGTTTGGTTAATACACTGCTGGACAATTGCTAAGGACGGATAACACTNTATCCTACTAGGTCTCATGTCTCGCTTAATGTTATGCTACATTGCAATTTATGATCCGTCCTTAGCAATTGTCCAGCAGTGTACTACAAACAGGTACACTGTGTGGTCTAAAGCTAACAAATAAATCAATGCCTGTTATTCGTTGTGAATTATCATATACACTTACCACATACAAAACAATTTTTATCATGTAAAAGCATGCATCTATGAGTAGTCATCTTAGAGTTTAGAGTGAAAATATACTTGAGGGTGCCCCTTGGCGAAATCGGCGACTTATGTTTGACGCCATTGTTTGCGCGGAACACCGTGGTATCAGGAATGGCTGCCAAAATATAATGATATTTCAATAAAACATTTGAAAATTTCAACAAAACATCGGCCAAAACTGTATAAAATTGCAATGAACCCGATATCAGCAAAATTAATAAACTCAATAAAACGTATTTTGAATCGAAACAAAAATTAATGAAGTGTTATATCGCTGGGCTTTGCTTTAAAAGCCAGACATCATAATGTATGTGAATGTATAATCAAGTATTTTGGAAATGAAGAAAAACTATGTATTATATTAGGGTATTAAATCTCTGGAAGCAGGTTAAGGTATTATTTCAACCTGGAGCAGGTAATGTTTGTTTTCCCTAAATCCCTTTCATTAATTATTTATTCCCTGTTTTCAAGTTCTCTTTTTCCCGCTCTGACGTACGAGCGAACCACCAATAGGTAGTAGCTATAGCTGTGACGAAATAATGTCGTCATCGAACCTGTGCAGCGTGGACGGTGTGGCGCGCGATCGACGAAGGGAGAGTTTTTTTCTCTCTCTTAGCTTCCCGAGGTGATGGTCGTGACTGGCGCCTGCAGGGTCCGAATCAAGTTAACGCGGCGGGACGGACGCGTCCCTATCTCCCGATGGACATCACGATAAGTTTTCCTATTTCTTTTCATATTGCTTCGTTTAACGCTAAATTTAAATAAACTAATTTATTTTTTTTTATTTATTAAATCCGTAGGATCCTATCAAATAAGTAATTCTAATAATTAAACTTAACTTCGTGGTAGCTGTGCCACGTGCTCGCGCTAATTTAACTTAATATGAAATGAAAACTTAATATTTTTTTTTATCTTTCCCTGCTCCAGAGAATCTTTTTTTATTGTATTAAAATGATTAGTAATGATTTTCATTGTCATGTTTAAATTAGAATGTTAAACCACATGAGGAATGTTATACTTAATTGTTTTAGAATGTTAAACCACATGAGGAATGTTATACTTAATTGTTTGAGCTGAACATGATTAATATGATTTTCAATAAATATTGTAATTTTATATAAACTTAACTCTCATTTATTAGCAGTTATTAATTGATTCACTTTAGGCAGTTATTGTGATTTTAGTAGCTTTTAGTTATATATTTGAATATTTTCCTGACAGGCTCGAACCTGATTTTAGATTAGCTTAAATAATTTATTTGGAGGAAAATGCTTGAATTACTTTGATTGCATAAAAATAATAAAATATTAAATCAAGATAAATAATTTTATTAAGAAATCTAAGCCTAGATGCAATTAGATTTAAGTATTAGTGAAGCACGTGTCGATCCACACGTGTTGATTTAGACTTGAACTAGAATAGTAAATTGTTAATTCTAATTTTTTCTTAATTAATTTCATAATTAAATTAATGAAACGGTTCGATAGTGATGAGTAATTATCAAGGAATATTAATTATTTTTCTCCACTAACTAGTTATTCAAATTCACAACGCAATTCAAATTAATGAGAGACACATTTTTAGGTACTGTTATATGTCTCCATAAAGCAAATATAACAAATGGTGCCGAGACACCTGTTAGGAAAAATTCTATTTCAGTAAATAGTAATATTTAGAAAAAAAAAAAAACTTTTTTTTAACGTCATGTTCAGCAAATGATTTTGAATTTGATGCATATTATTTTCATTTGTGTGTTATTTTGTTATTAGTATTACTGGCATTAAGGTATATTTATGTGAATGTGTGATATATTCCCCTGATGAGATTAATATTAGTGGTTACAAAGTTAATTAGATTAATGCTTTCGAAATAGCAATTATTTTTAGGTAAACTTTCACTAAGACAAAAAATTTTAGTTTACATATTTTTTTTGAGTGTTGGTTTTTCCGTTCTTTAACTAGACATGACCGATAACCAGTTAGAAGGTCTTTCTACAAACTCTACTGGAGTAAAAACAATAGACATTATTCCAGTAGTTAAAAGTCACACAGTTTCTGAGTTCTTACCCGTGATCCCATCGTTTGACGGAAATTCTAGTTTCTCTGCTTTTATAGATAAATTTAATTCGATTGCTGACTATTGTAAATGGGATGATAATGACAAAATTTTGGCTCTTTCGTTACGCCTTATCGGCGAAGCTCAGGAATTCGTATCCACTCAGCGAGAGTTAAGGTACACTAAGGATTTTAAATTGTTAGTTAAATCGTTAAGGGAAAGATTTGAAACTAAATCGAATATGGCTTCGTATATAACCAAATTAACACAGGCATATCAGCTGCCTTGTGAAAATGCACGCCAGTTTTTCAGCCGTTTAGAAGGGATATCATATAACTGTATTCCAGGTAATGGCGGTGAAGAGTTTGAAAGTTATAGAGAACAACTTTTGTTATCCGCTGCTAAGCAAGGTTTAAGGGTTGAATTGTTAAGAGGAATTGCATCGACCGCACTAGATAGTTATAATGAATTTAAAAAACATACTCTTACGTTTGAGGAAAATTTTAAGTTAATTGAGCCAATGCAATTAGCGGCAGCAATTCAAGCTAAATCGGAAGATAATACAGCAGCCAAAATAGATGATCTAAATACAAAAATCGAACAGCTTACACTAACAATTTCTAAAATGCAAACAAAACNAAAAAAAAAAAAAAAAAAAAAAAAAAAAAAAAAAAAAAAAAAAAAAAAAAAAAAAAAAAAGTAACATAAATTTTTGTACGAATGTTTTTATGTATGTGTGTGTTAAAAATGTTAATTTGGGTGTTTGGGTTTTTCTGAGCTTGGAATTGTATCTTTTGAGGATAAGTTCTTCCATTTTCCCCTCACCGTTCCCTTCTCAACAGAAATTCTTGAGAAATCTTGTTGAAAGCTCCAAATAGAAAGAATTCTTGATAGGACTGTCAAACATGATGAAT